TTCCCTTTCTTTCTTTTAATTTAAATGCATTTTATTTAAATTAGAAACAATCTTATTTTACATATCATAGTTTCCTCTCCCTCCCATCATGCCATACCCTCCCAACAACCCCCCCATCCCATCCCCTATCCACTCCCTAGTGTTTTATTTAAATTAGAAACAATCTTATTTTACATATCATAGTTCCCTCTCCCTCCCATCACGCCATACCCTCCCAACAACCCCCCCATCCCATCCCCTATCCACTCCCTAGGGAGGGTGAGGCCTTCCATGAGTGATCATTACAATCTGTCAAGTCATTTGGGGCAGAGTCTAGGCCCTCCTCTGTGTATCTAGGCTAAGAAAGTATCCCTCCATGGGAAATGGGCTCCTGAAGTCTGTTCTTGTGCTAGGGTTACCTCCTGGGTCCAATGCCAGAGGCCCAATAGACTGGCCAGTGTTCCCAACTAACACCTGCATTCAAGGGGCCTGTTTTGGTCCTATGTTGGTTTCCCAGCTGTCAGACTGGGGTCCATGAGTAACCCCTCAACCGAAGAATGAATACAAAAAATGTGGTGCATTTACACAATGGACTACTACTCAGTGGAAAATAAAACAATGATATCTTGAAATCTGCAGGCAAATCGATGGAACTAGAAGAAACCATCCTAAGTGAGGTCACTCAGTCACAGAAAGACAAACATGGTATGTACTCACTCATATGTGGATTCTAGACATAGTGAAAAGTATTGCCAGCCTAAAATCCATACCACCAGAGAAGCTAGGAAGCAAGGAGGACCATACAAGATACATACACAGTCCCCCCGTGAAGCAGAAGCGAACAAGAGACCCTGAACAAATGGGGAGTATGGGGGGGAGGAGTGAAGGAGAAAGAGGAGGAACAGGGAGAAAAACATGAGGCATCAGGAAGATTGAGTGGGGAGAGGAATAGAGGAGAGCAAGAAAAGAAACATCAACAGAGGAGACTCTATAGGTTTAAAGAGAAATCTGGCACTAGGGAATTATACAGAGTTCCAAAAGGAAGACCTCAACTACGACACTAAGCAATATTGAAGAGACTACCTTAATGCCCATCCCCTATAATGAGAATTATGACTACCTTAAGTGCCATCCTAGAGCCTTCATCCTGCCGATGGAAGCAGAAGTAGAGTACCACAGCCAAGCACTGAGCCAAACTCCTGGAAACCAGTTTCAGAGAGGGAGAAGTGACAAACAAGGGGTCAAGACCATGCTGGAAAAACCCACAGAAACCCCTGACGTTCTTCTCTTTGACAGATTAATCTTCGGTGCTCAACATTCCTGTTTCATTGGAGATCTGTGAGCACAAGGACCTTCATGATGTGCTCCCAATAATTTTATTCTTTTAGATTTTATTTAAGAAAAAAACCAAAGTGCACATATGAGCAATAAACAACATGTATTAAACTAAATGATTCACTTAGCATGTATATTTTCTGCTGAATATCCAGTTTGATGAATGTATTCTTGGTAGAGAGTTCCTTACATTTTTAATTCTTAGCAAAATGTTTACCTGTGTCTGATTTTGAAAATTTATCTATAAACGGAAGAAGACTTCATTGTTTCCATAAAGATGTCTTTTTATGGAGCAAATTAAGCTTTTTTTTGGTTCACTAAGCTAAATATAAAATGCTACTTCACTGAAATCAAAAGGTCAAAGCCCATCTTGAGTACTTAGATTAAGAATGGGAACAAAAGAAAGTTATGATGAAATGTATCCTCTCTGGTGACTGATTTCTTTCAAGTAAACTAATCATTGCTGCTGTATGCAGCATTAAACAGGAAAACAAGGACCTGTCTCAAACAGTGTGGAAGTCAAGGAGATTGACACCTAGGAGTGCCCTCTGACCTTCACAAAGAGGCTGTGGCATGTGTATGCTACACTCATACACGTGAACACTACTAAATCTCTACTAAATTTGCCAAAATTCTCTATGTAGAGCCTTATCATTAGCTAATCAAACTTTATTTACTAAAAGATGCAAATTCATAGAATGATCCAGTGTGCATGTAAAAAGAAACCATTATCCATGTCATCTGATGATGCTGTAATAGCACTGCTCACTCCCACTGTTGCACACCTACTCATTTTTTGAGCTCCTACATGCTGTTATTCTTTGGGGAACCCTAGATGAGGATATTAAGGCTGATTTCTAGGGTTTTTTAGTTGTCCCTCTCCTCCCCAGCATATGAGAACTTATATTCTGCCTGCCCGGTACACTACCGTGTGTATTATAAGAACACCATACTGGCCGGGCGGTGGTGGCACACGCCTTTAATCCCAGCACTTGGGAGGCAGAGGCAGTCAGATCTCTGTGAGTTCGAGGCCAGCCTGGTCTACAAGAGCTAGTCCCAGGACAGCCTCCAAAGCCACAGGGAAACCCTGTCTCGAAAAAAATCCAAAAAAAAAAAAAACAAAAAAAAAAACACCATATTGTCACATACTGGTACATATTCCTGTACATATGTGATACTTACTTCTTTCTTCTTTGTTCTTTCTCTGGATGTACACATCTGGCCCCAACAAACTCTGGACAATATCCTTAACCATTCTCTGGGAATAAATCAACTATTTTATGATTTATTAGCTATTTGCTCACTAACAGTTAAATGCTGTATACTAATTCTCAACTAAATACTGTAAAAGCCACATTTAAGGTTACTTCTTACATATTTTAGGACACAGTTAAATGTATGAGAAAAATTGTAGCACTCCCTAGTTTTGAAGTTGACTCATGTTCTCAAAGACGTTAAGAAAGTGATTATTAACAGCTCAGGTTAAAGAAAAGTTACCATCTGCTGAGGTCATTAGAAAATGTGTCACATTTGCAAAAGAAATAGGACTTGAGATATCTTTTAATTTTTTTCTTTTTAATTAACACATGATAATTTTATGTATTCATGTGTGATGTTTCAAAGTATACATACACTGTGCAATAATTAAGTCAGGGAAATTAACATTTTCCAATCATTTATGTTTGGGAACTTTGAGCTCCTGTTTGCTCATTCAAAACCAATCTTAAAATAGAGTCAAATGAACTATAGGCATCCTGCTACAGTGCTGCTGAATATTAGGACTTTTTCTTTCTAACTGTATGTTAACACCTATTGTGCAATCATCCTCTGTATCCCATTCCTAGCCAATAGTAATCATTATTCTACCTTATCATGCTTTGGTATGTATTTTGAAATGGGAACATTAACAATTTTAGTCAAGATGTTGAAACTGAAAAATTAGATTGAAGTAGAAATACAGAAAATCTATTTGAGTGGGAAAGTGGAATAACCAAACACAAGCAACATATATTGCAAAGGATATGTGTAGAATATGTAAATTTTTGTTGGATCACAAAGAGCCTTAAAGTACATCTAATTTTATTAAACAGACATGTCACTTTGTTTTACATGCAGTAGACAGTCAAAGGATAAGTGGATAAAATAAAATTCAATGAAGATATGTAAGGATTTTGCCTTGGTGCTGGAGAGATGGTTCAATAGTCAAGAGCACTGGCTGTTCTCCTAGAGGACCCTGGTTCAATCCACAGTACCCATACACCATCCCATAACTGTCTGCAATTCCATTTCTAGGGGATCCGGATTAGGTACACTCCTCTGGCCTTCATGGGCACCAGGAACACAAATGGTATATAGACATATATGCAGACCAAACGCCCATACTCATAAACTTAAAAAATAAACAACATATATTTCTGATGCAATACATACCCATCATCCTAAGTTTAATTCATGGGGAAAGTGTGACTGAAAATGACCTGATGAGAGCTGTACCAAGTAGTGTTCGGGAAAGTTTGCTACTACATGGGAACAGTCTTCCTGAGAAAGAGGCCTATGCAATTAAAGAGATGACTATATTGGAAGGACAGATTTAGGATGACCTTTTTTTTTTTTTTAATAGTTCAAGAACACATTTTTTTTTCTTCACTTTTTTTTTAGAAAGAAAATTATTTTACATGTCAATCCCAGCTTCTTCTCCCTCCCCTCCTCCCCTGGCCCCCACTCACACCCTACCTATCCCGTACCCTTTCTGCTTCCCAGGGAGAGTGAGGCCTTCCATGGGGGCATTCAGAGTCTTTCATATCCTTAGGGATAGGGCCTAGGCCCTCCCCTGTGTATCTTTATTTCTGGGTAAGTTATCAAGGTTGTCATTAACTCTTGCTTCAGTCTCTCAAGTAGCTAAGACTAGAAAGACATCACAATGGCCAGCTTTGAAGTTGGCCCTTTCTGTATTTAGTAGCAATCACAGGGTCAGTTTGCTATGCCTTCAACCGAGCATAGCCCTGAAATATTGCCAATTACCCAAAACAATACCATAAATTAGTAGAGATAAAAATGAGAGCTTCTTAAGGACAAGCCTCTTTAAAACCAATTTTTGTTAATACCTGTATTTACAATAGTTTACATGTTTCACACAATGAAAATGATGCTTGCATGAGGCAGGCAAGTAAAAATAACACTTGCATAAGGTTACAGAAAGGAGTTGAGCTACTTTTCATCTTGTTTTTCAACCAGCCTTATCAAATTCTATGTATATAAGACTCTCTATAAAGAGTCCTATAACAATGTTAATTTTGGAGTTGCAAACTGTCACACATTCAAATTTGAAGGTACTTACAAGGTCTTTGGTTGGGATAGACAAGGCACAACAAGAAGTCATGGGATGAAGCTTAATTGTACTTTGGGACATTTCAGTGTTTCTATTGCACTGTGTTGTGTATTTATTTTTCTGTCTCACCCTCTCTATATACATATTACATATTACAAATATATAAGATATGTGACATATATGTTATATATGTATATAATGTGCACTTGTGTATGTCTGTGCTCATGAGTGTGTTTACAATAGTTAAGGATTAGCTTAAGTCGTTTATTATGTTATAAAGTATTTTAAAGGTCATATTTAATCAAAACCACAAAGCTAACAAATCGCAAATAATGTTGTCCTTTATCTGTGCTCTTACCTTCACATCTTTGACGTTCATTCTTGTTCCCTCCTTCCCCACAAATATGTCATCAATGTCCACAAGGATGTACCTGTCCAAGGACAATGTCAGCCTCTTCCCCGACAAAAAAGAGATGGCATCTATGAAGATGAGCTTGTGAAGCCAAAAGTTCAAGTTGTTCCCAAAAAGAACGCGCTGGATCCCATCATGAAGCCCCAGGTCCTGAATTATTGTGGCATAGAGTGTTTTGCTGGACAAGAAAGGCAGGGGCTTCTCTGTCTGTAACTCTGTTAAAAGCACTGGCTGGTAGGTAGAATGGTTATATTGGAAAATCGTCCAGTCTTCCCCAGGAAGAGGCCCCTTTTCAACCTTAGGGCCTTTGGTAATGTGCAGCAGAGGAGACTGAGGGTTCACAGAGCAGTCCTTCAGAGCTAGATTATTGAATAAGTTCAAAGGAAAACCTTTCAACTGTGTAGTTGGTAAGCTGTTCTCGTTGGCTTTATGAAAACCAATTATGCTAACACTGTATTCTATACAGTATTTTTCTAAAAGCTCCCGGTTCCATGAGTCCATGCTGACATATTTCAGAATATTTTCATAAATAATCAATGTGTATTTCCCTTTGCCACTATCGGTAAGAGGTGGTATGTCTCCCTTGCCTGGAGCAATGACCATCTGGTACTGAAAGCGGCTGGACTCCAAGATTGCTACAATATCTTGACCTAGTTGAGAATACTGGCTCTCTACAAACAGGAGGACAGTGGGGTCAGTTTTGGATGTGTCAATCGGCTTGACGGTTTTCAGCTCTATGGACCGATAAGGGAGGATTTTGATGTCAGCACACTCTGCTTCGGCTGTAGTTTCAATAAGTGTCATTTCTTGTTTGTAGCCAGAGTACAGGAAGTAGGCAGAAATGAGGATGCTCACCAAGCAAAAAGTAGCTAAGAGAACAATAAGTGTTCGAAAGCTTCTCCGAAACCTCACAATAAGATTCATTTTAAAAATCAGTGCTTTGTAAGCCTTTTCCGGTTTCTTTCCCTAATGTGCCATGGAGAACATATAGAAAGATGTTGCAAATTTTCCTTCCCAAACATTCATGTAACCATTGCAAATCATGGGAGATTCTCGAAGTGGTCACAAATGAGTCAAATCTGGTAGACAGTGGACCGGGAAGTCAACAGCTGAGATGCTCTGTCCAATACCAAGAATTGCTGCAAAGTCCTTAAGCATTATCTGAAAGAGAGGAGAAATGTGACAGCTAAGACCAAAAACCAGTCTTCCTGTGTATATGCTCGCTGATATCGATGGCACCCATGAAAGAGTGCTCTAGCTTTGTGAAAAGGACAGTATGGCTAATGCTGTCTGCTTATGACCAGGGTCTTAATATTTGACACATACAGTCTGCTTGGATTTCCATGGCTTCTAGAAAACTCTCTGAAAGTCTTTTTTTTTTTTTGACTTTGCTCAAATAGCCACACAAACCTGAGAACACATACGGAGATCAATTTCCACTAGTTCTCTTAAAAAGAAGAGAAGTAAGGGAAGAAAGAGAAAGTTAGATGCATGATGTTAATACTTTGGTAAATTATCTATTCTGACATAAGCTAGTGAACTTTTTCTGAATGCAAAAAGGATGAGATATCAATTTTAAGTATTAGAACATTTCCTCCTAATATGCAATAGTGAAAATGGAAAAAAAAAAACATATGGGACTAGAATCTGTCAACCCAAAGAATAAGCGAAATTTAAATGTGACATTTATTTAACACCAGTTTGTTCTGAGTGAGGATGATAGATACATATACCACGATTGTACATGTCTGTGTTCTCAGCCAGCTTGTGTTTTAACTGCAGGACTATCCTTTATATTCAGTTTTCTTATTTCTCTACCTTTAAAGATAATGGTTAGTTAAGGTGAAAAAGTTTGCCCTTGAAAGTGTTATACCACTATGTCCTGTAATGACACTAAGAGACCTTGAGATGTTATTACGTGGAATGTCAAGGAAATGTAGGCTAGTCTGTTTGCTTCTCTTATCCAGTGCCCTGTCTCTTAAACTAGAAAAAGGACAAGAGCAAGGCAGAGCTTGTAGGTAGGGAGATGAGCCAATGTTATAATATTACTATATATTTATAAAATTAATAAGATACACATAATAAGATTTAAAAAAACATTTGTAAATGAGTCATGCAAAATTAAAGAAATGTATTTCAGGATAATAGGAAAGCTATTTGAAAAGCTGTTTCACAAATACAAAAATGTGTATTATATTTTCTTAAGGACTATAAATTGATAAGCTAAAATTTTAGTTTAACCTTCAGCCGATCTTCCTTGTAAGCTGAAACTGATGACCTGCTAGCAGTAAACAGAATCATGAGGAACTCTCTCTCTCTCTCTCTCTCTCTCTCTCTCTCTCTCTCTCTTCTCCTGGCACCAGGCACATTCTGTGAATTCCTCGTATGTCTGAAAAGCCAGTGTTTCCCAAATCAACACACCAAGAAAAATCAAATAAGGCTTCAGCTCAAATATACTAAATCTGACTTTCATCTGTTTTAAGAAACTTATCAACATTAACAGTATGACTCACTCTGTTTGTGGCAGCAACCAAAACCTTCTCCAAATGTCAGATGCCTGATTGCAGTCTTACTCTGGTAAGTGAGAAGAGAATTTTTATGAATTGTCTTCCTTGCCCCATTCTGGGATTTAGACAACATTTATGCTTCTGGGGCTAGAGAGATAGATGTCTCAGTGGTTAAATGCACTGGCTGTTATCCTAGAGGACCTGGGTTCAATTCCAAGCACCAACATGGCAGCTCATAACTACTGTCTGTAATTCTAGTTCCATGGTACCCAACACCTTCATACATTCAGGTAAAAAAAATGCAGATTAAAAAAAATAAAGTTAAAAAAGATGGAAGGTGAGAAACACCTCCACAAAGGTGTCCCCTGTGACAATGTGTGTCTGCACACACAATAATATTAAATAAACAATATATATTCCTATGTGTTATCCTTCCAAGTTATAAGTAATGGTGGAATGAGCACCTCTTTCATGAACACCTAAGGTATGTATGTTTGAACACAGGTTTCAGAGACAAATCTTTACAAGTGTCTAGTCCTGAAGGTTGTTTCATTTCATTTGTTTGTTTTGTAATGAGAAACTCAACGAGAACTATATTTAGGGGCTGGGAATAACATTTAAATACATCTGGAGTTCATTACTTGAAAGTCTTGTGGTGAGATGCATAGCTCAGGAAAGTTTATTAGAAAGTAACAGGGCTTGATACCATTAATTGTTAGGAATGTCAACTACTTAGTAGTCATTACATGGCATAACTTGCTTCTGTAGTTCTGTTACATTCTCATTATTATCCTGGTTTTTAAATGAGAAATTTTATATGTAGAAGGGATTTTAAAACACTATGATTACACTGTGAAGAGTTTATGACTGGAGAGATCCATATTCCACAAGTTGCCCTGTTGAGGACTAAGGTGAAGAAACTAAAAGCTTAGTAGTCTGCATAAATAAATTTAGACCCAATGGGAATAACTTTTATTTCAAAGTTAAAAGTTAAAATACTTGTGCTAGAATGTGAGGAAAGAAAATGCAGACAAATAATAGAGGTGATTTGATTAACTCATACAAGTTGTAAGCAGAATAAGTCAAACACTGCAATTTTTTGGTAGGTTGGTAAAACCTAGGGAAAAACACATACTTAATCAAGTACTGTGTTGTTACATCTCATGAAATTACATCTGTGGTCAGGAATCTTACTGACAATTTGCTCACATTTTATATTAATGGTGTTATTACTTAATTAAAAATGTATTGTATAAATATTTAACCATTTGTTCTAATGCACCAATATCCCTTGTGGTGAGTTTTCAAAATTTTAACTGTTTTAAAGAGATGTTTTCTTTTCCATACATGGAAATTAAATGAGATCATCAAAGAAATATTGACATACTTTGTGTACCATAAAGATAAGCATTGCTTAAGAACAGTATTAGTTGTGTATTTGTGTGAGAGTTTGAGTGTGCATGCATGTGTGTGTTTGTGTTTGAGTGTATGTATAGCAGGGTAGGGATCCAGCTATGAGACTAGATTTTGTGTCATGGACATAATTGTTTGAGACACACAAATTATTTAACCTGGTTTTTAGAGAATTAGAAATATAATTAGTGTTATAACAGAAGATCAGGTGGTCTATCATGACTCTATGTATGAAAATGTCTCCTGTTAACTCAATAGAACTGTAGACTAAACATCTGTAGACATCATTATTAGTTACCTGGAATTCCTATCAGCTTCTAGGCTACAATATTTCCTTAAGTTACTTTCGGGAGCAACCATTTGGCATAAATCACAACTATTTTTCCAAAATGAAAGTTCAGACCAATGAATAGCTGTTGCATTTAATCAAAATGAGAATGCTTTGCTGTTTTGTGATTTTCTGAAAAAATAATCTTTTCTTTTCTATTCTGGTAAATAACCTGTTGATTACTTCCTAACTTTTATACACTTCATATTTTTCCCATTTTTATTGACATAATATAAATTTATTTTAGTGCCCAGAGTGTATATTTTTACTAGTAGAAACTCCTAAAAGTGCCATTTTCAAACATAATGATAACATTACTACTCCAATATTATACAGTACCATCATATTATACTAGGTACATAGCTATGAGCTATCAGCTATATTCCCACTTCAAAAGATTATGAAGGGAAGTCAGTAAATAGAAGAGTAAATGTCAGGCAATTTCTTTTATCACTAGTGTTTGCAGATACATAAAGTATGTATGTATTATTTTCTTGGGTCTTATTTTTGAAGTGGAAAAACATGATTTTTAAAATACAATGTATTTTTATGAAAACCATGTTCCACATATGTAATCATCTCATTTATTTTAAAATACAAGGACATCAAAAATATTACTCTGCTTACCTGCCCATTTGTTCTGTTTGCTACATGAAATTTATAATACAGTATTCGAAACACTGTCTATAGCTAAGGTGAGCTCTCATTTGAGTCAATACTTAAAACTTAATTTTAGACTTAAGATTGCATCACAGAGTTATATTCTTAACTACGAAAGTAACAATCAAGTCTACAGAACACAGGGGCCAGAATTAACCAGGACTAATGATTTTGGAGTTCTTGTGTCTAATTTAAGGGTGTCTGTAATTCCTGACAGCTCTTGTGGGACCTTCATGAGTGTGGGCAGATCTATGATATCTGCCTGGCTTCCTGTAGATATAGAAGTGATGTTGACTGAGGGCATTCAGAATCAAGCACAGATCAGCAAAAAATGTGATGTAGGCTTGGATTTCCTTCTCAATTTTCCCCTTAGTGTAAGAAGTAAAGGCATTTTTACCACACTTCAACAAATGGACATTTATTAACAAAACAATGTATGTTTTCCATATCTTTGTAAAATTCAACTGCACCTCAAACAACCTAAGCTCTATTGTTTTAATCTGCTTTTAACTTTCTCTCTTCATTATTTATTTTACTGCCCCAAAATCTGTTTGTTTGGTTTTATCTTTTCTTGTTTTTTGATAGTGGATGATGCCTTATGCTTTATTTATTAATCACACAATATGCATGACACTGTTTATATTCTCTAATTACCCTTTCTTTTATCTCCTTATTATCAATTTATACAGAAACCACAGATGACTGGAGAAGTAAAGTACTGAGGCACACTTCCTTGTTTAGATATAAACTTAGCACTGAAGGTAGAATTGTTTTCTTTCCTGTAAAGTGTATCATACATAAATATTATATGTAAAACATGCTTAAAAACTCATATGGTTGCTTTTTTTCTTAACAAAATTTGGATTTTTCGTTCTCTGAAAGCGTTTTTGAAAACTCAGAATGTTAAAATAAAATGAAGATTGTTTAAAAAAAACCCTGCTGTGCTTTACATGGTATGTAATTTGTTTTTATGGATTGATTACACAACAAACATTATTTTCATCTTGCTGTTTTAT